TCTCCTGTACCTTGCCCAATGCACCCGCTACGATCTGTCATACGCAGTGCACCAACTGACACGGGCATGCGCAAACCCAGCACAGGTCTACACGGCGGCGGCCAAGCACCTACTACGGTACCTACGCGGAACGCCGGACCTGCCCATCGCGTACAAGAACGGGGCAGTTCAGACTCTCGTGCTTCATCGGCTCGTCATTTGGAGCCAACCCAGACAACGGCAGGTCTACCACCGGATACCTGTTCTTCCTAGGAGGGGGATTGATCAGCTACGGAGCCAAGGCACAGGCTCTCGCAGCACAGAACACCGTGGAGGCCGAGCTTGAAGCGCTGAGCTTCAGTGCTCGCGAGGCAGTCTACAGCTCCAACNAGTTCAGACTCTCGTGCTTCACTGACTCGTCATTTGGAGCCAACCCAGACAACGGCAGGTCTACCACCGGATACCTGTTCTTCCTAGGAGGGGGATTGATCAGCTACGGAGCCAAGGCACAGGCTCTCGCAGCACAGAACACCGTGGAGGCCGAACTTGAAGCGCTGAGCTTCAGTGCTCGCGAGGCAGTCTACAGCTCCAACTTCATGACGGAAATCGGATTCAAAACCTTTCGATCGGTACCCATCAACAGCGACAGCACCGGAGCATTGACTGTGGCCACCAATGTGATGTTCAGCTCTAGAACCAAGCACATCGCGCTCCGGTCCTTCGTCGTCAGGGAATTCACGAAGGGGTACCGAATCACTCTTCACCACCAACCTAGTGCGACGATGTTGGCGGACATCGCGACGAAAACATCTCCCGAAGCAGCGATTCGCCACCATCATGCAACTCATCAAGGACTACAAGTGCTAGGAGATATTAAGCACAAGATCGCATGGCATGGTTGAATGTTTTGAACGCGTGTAGAATATTGCTCACAGGATGGATTCACTCATGTGGAGGTCGATATTCTTTGATATGGATTGGGAATTGAGGGGTCGCAAAAATTGGCAGCGAGTGAAGCTTTTCTTTCTATTTCTTTTTTAAACGTCGGCTACTTGCCTAATCGAGGGGTCGTGTCGAGGAAAACTGTTACAACGTACTCAGACACGGTTTACCGTAGGTGCGACTGCGGTAACTAGCCTTCCGCGGACATCATACAGAAAGAAGAGGTGGTACTTAGCAGACAACATGAGCACAGAGTTGTAGCGGAGATAATTTGGCAGGCGAGACTGTAGTTGTTTTATTGTTTGTTCCGAACCCCGAAATTCCGGGACTCGGGCCCATACCCCGGAGACCCTCTCGGAACCTGCTGTGTTTGCTGCTTGTTTTTTGTTTTTGTTGTTGAGCTGAGACACAAGCGCGCCTTCGCCCCTTGTGCTCACTCACTCTCATCTAGCACCCATCATAGCCTGACCAGGGAGTCAGTTGATAAGAACATCCATCTACATTTCTCTTTCCGAAGCTCGCTCGGGCCTACCGATCTCACAGCAGTGTAACCTCTGTGATAGACTACAAAGTCTACGAGCTACAGCAGCACCGCCACCTCCGCTGCTGCAGAGCGCCACATTTTGTGACCATGAACTGTTGTTCGTCTGTGTCTCTGAACGCATCATTTCTGTCTGGCCACGCTGCGTCAATGTTGCTTGACACACTCAGGATCAGAAACAATAATACGAACGTTCGTCAATGTCCTTCGCGCGAAACCGCTCCTACGCAATGCGTATATTCCCGTGCTAGGCATTTGTCCTGCAGGCCGCAGCTATGCTATGCTTGGCAATGCACCTCGTCCTTGCTCCTCTGTCGTCTGTCATTTTGATCCTGACTCGTCTTCTGGTCGTACTTCCGAGGTATTTCCAGTAATAATATTTTCGGTACGAAATGTTATCTTTGGAAAGTTGGATTAGCAGAGCCCGTGTCCCCTTTACTCTGTAGTTTTGATGGAGTGAGCGCTCTAACACCATCAAAACTGGGGGGTGATGTGGGTCACAACTCTACGAACCCAACCCACTAGTCTACGTCTTTCACCACATACACATCCTACGACCTTGGAGAACGTTCCCCACGTTCTCCTCGGAGAGATCGTCTCTCGGGGCGATGTCGAGGTCGCCAACGCCCCGAGCCACGAGGAAGCGTGCAACATTACGAGGGACCTAAGGCCGTCTTCCACGAGGCTTCCTCGGATCGTTGACCGTGACTATTGTCCGAGAGGGATGCGAGGGCGTGCCCTCGCACACCTCTCACTCTTCACGTCTTCTGTCCCCATCTCATCTCGAGATTCTGTCTCTTTACTGAGAATCACAGTCTGTCCGGTGATCGATAACACCGCCCCATATCTGTGAGCGTTGCCTANGGGGCGATGTCGAGGTCGCCAACGCCCCGAGCCACGAGGAAGCGTGCAACATTACGAGGGACCTAAGGCCGTCTTCCACGAGGCTTCCTCGGATCGTTGACCGTGACTATTGTCCGAGAGGGATGCGAGGGCGTGCCCTCGCACACCTCTCACTCTTCACGTCTTCTGTCCCCATCTCATCTCGAGATTCTGTCTCTTTACTGAGAATCACAGTCTGTCCGGTGATCGATAACACCGCCCCATATCTGTGAGCGTTGCCTAAGTGGAACGCCTGTGGATACAGCGTTGGAGATTCGCACCTCCCTGCGGTGTCTTTGAGTTCAAACCCTTACGAGCAGCTAAAAAAACAAATTGTCTCTGCTGTTGTTGTGCTTCGCTTGTTGGTTCGAGCTTCGATCGAGAAATCTCACAAGCGTTCAATCAAGCGGCGTGTGATGGGTAACCAGGCTATCACGGGAGGCACTTGTCGCACACTAGGCCTTCGCGCACAAAAGTGTAGAGAGGCGTACAGCAGTACGTGTCGCACCAATGGTGGTGCGTAGCAGCGTCTGTGTGTTGTTGATGTCATGTGCCCCTCTCCGCGGAAGGAGCGAGAGAGAGAGAGAGAGACCGCTGCTGCTGTGCTGCTGCTGCTGCTGCTGCTGTTGCTGCAACCAAATGTTGATCTCTCCTCTCGCTTCCTCCGCCGATAGCTAGCAGCAGCAGTGTATGGCACACCCTTCTCCCGCCGTCTCTCTCTCGCTGCTGTCTGTGTCTACCTCTCCCTGTTTGTCCATGTCTGGCTCTGTGTGTGATGTGTGGTGTGTGGTGTGCGAGGCTATCTGTCTTGATTCAAAATCAAACGACGCCTCCTCTCGGTGTTGCAAGGGGCCAGAAACTTCCCTGCTTCAAGTTGGGTACCGGCGCTGCACTATCTCGACGCACTGAGCACGGATTGAAAAGGTAGCAGTCGGGGCAGCTCGGGCAAAATGTTACTTGTTGTTAACACGTCTTAGATTGCAATTTGGTGCCGAGATGGTGAAATGGGCTGGAATATGCTCGGTAATATATATCGAGGCTGGTCACAGACAGACAGACAGACAGACAGACAGACAGATAGACAGACAGACAGACAGACAGACAGACAGACAGACAGACAGACAAATAGGCAGACGTAACACAGACTTACTTGGCCCGTTTTGCCCCCCCCCTCTAAACAGCTTTTTTATTTTAATCAAAAAGCGTCCCTATCGGGCCACTTCTCTTCAAAACAAAACTATTATTACAACGCAGGGTTTTTCGATGAACTACGAAGTGCTGAGCGAGGTATGCCTAAGAAGAGTAGGTTCTCGAAGAGGCGACCTTATGCACCTGGCGCAAACACAGCATGAATGAGTGAACCTTCGGACGCAAACAAACAAACCCCGTTCCATCCACGATTACCCGGAGCCACCCCGGGAACTAACAGTGGGCATCTCAAGTACAGTTAGCGCCCTCGGCTATGAAACGATTTGGCGACAGAAGAATTGACAAGAAACGCACAATCTACCTCAGCAGCCGTGGATACCACGCTAACTCTACATAATGAATGACCTGTACTCGACGGACGGTGATGGCCTAACTAACAAGAAAGTGAGTCTGGACCTCAATTGACGTCTTGTTCCATCATGTCCTTTTCAGAGCGTGCCGACGATGGTTGTTCTCGCTTGCGTTGACCGGGAATTCTGCCGGTCGAAAAACGTTCTCTCATTTCATTTACTCTCTTCAATCAATCAATGAGTCCATTGATTCTCCCTGCGGCCGCGATAGCCAGGCAGGGTGTCATATTCAGTATCGCATTGTACATATACACATTGAGGCCTCTCCCATTCAAGATGACTGTTGATTCGCGTCTACATGCATAAGACTATGTATCCGACGGACATGTTCATCGGTCTTCGCACTGCGATAGCGTTGTTGGATGAGATATGTCGCCACTGAATCTCATTCTGTTAGATGTACGACATATTTACTGAGCGAAACAGCCAGCGCTGACTTATAGCATACAGGTAGTGGTTTTACTTTTGAAACAGTCAGCGCTGACTGTTAAGCTCAGTAGATATGTTGTACATCTAACAAAAGTAAAACCCCTACCTGTATGCTATAAGTCAGCGCTGACTGTTCAGCTCAGTGGATATGTTGTACATCTAAAACGTTCATTCTTACTGTATTTTGGACGAGAGAGGTTGCCTATGAATCTCATTCTTGGTGTAAACGAACATAAAAATGAATGCCGCCCCGAGGAAGTGCAATTCCTACTGTACATGCGACGAAAAACACCCAACCTTCTATGCAGTTTTTTCATCCATCACACCTGTACCTGCAGCGTGTTCGTTCGTGACATTAAACTTCCATATCCCATGCCGCTCAAACGAGACGTCGATGCCGGGTACAGTTCAGAGTTGTAGCACGCGTCAAGAACGGCCAAGAACAACGACCAAGCAAGTCAGTCACGAGAAAATGGCAAAAACAGAACAAACGAATCAGAAAGACGATGATACAAGTCCGGTTCCCGCCGTCCTCACATATTTATTGTTTTTCCTCACGACTCCAACGTTGATTCGATTCGAAGGATCCTCCCTCCCACAGCAACCCTGCACGAACGAAACAAGGAAGAAAATATGCCAAAACACTAATGCGGCAAGCAAGATGCCGCCAACAATCGGCAGGTAGACGGATGGCAACCAAGACGAGGGAGGGGGGGAACGAATCCGAGCTCCACCTCACTCTGCTCCAAAACCAAGAGTTCCACATGTCCAATTCCCCCCTCTCGCCTACTTCAGGACTGAGACCAACCCAACTCCCGCACCCCGTTGCTGCGGGCTGGTTAACTTGGCGCAAACAGACCATCCGCAGAGTGGTCCTTGTGGAAGATCTGCCTACAACATTACACACGCATACATACTGCGAAAACCTGCCGCAGCCTGCAACCAAAGAAAGCAAGCTGAGTAGGAGCTCACATATCCAAAAATAAATCAAAAGACGGCCAAGCAACGAAGATTCCGCCAAACTTATCGCACGGGTGAAGGAACTCTCTGTGGATCATGACTCGATGTGAAAAAAGGGACCGAAAACAACTCAACAACCCTTCGAAATGTATAGCATGGAATGGACTGTTTCTGCGCATGACCTTCGACGAAGACAAGAACTCGAGAAGAAGTAAATGACGTCTTGTACTGCTGCACATCATGTCAATCGCCAACACCGCGCTTACACCGACCGACCTATCGAGATGGCTCAAGAAGTGCGACCTCAGCACGAGGTACGAAAAAACTGAGACAAACCAGACCCACTATAGTATTCCCCACCGAGAAACGACGACCCGCAGCCAAGCTCTTTCCCACGTGTAAAAAATATCGAACCGAAAGGAAGGGCATTGTGTCCATCCATCTACGCTATCCTCTCGCATCCCCCCCCGCTCCCCCGGGATCCCACAGGCTGCGAAACCCCTTCTGCGTGCACTACAGACACGAACACGCCAAATCTGTTACAATTCCTAGCGCGGTCTAGCCACCATCCCTTCCCCCCGCAACCAATCTCATTCGTGTGTGGTGAACTGGTTAAAATCGCGATGGCATGCAGCAGCCTAGCACGCCATTCATTCCATCTCCTTTTACCGAAATTCAGGTACCGTGATATGTGTGATTGGGTGTAAATGATTACACGGGCCCCCGATGTTGGTACGCCAAGAGTCCAGGGGCCGGGACGGCGTACGACGAATATGTCAGACGGCCAACCCATCAACTGTTTTCGTCAGCTACACCAACCCGCCCGACCATCTCGAGGCGCCACCTTTGCCCCAACTGCTAGATACACCTGTCGTTCAAACGCGAAAACCGAGGGTTGCGTCTCTTCCCCGCGGCAGCCACACGCGTCCTGAAACAACTACAACCGTCCTACGACCACATACTCCAGGCAGCTTGTCGGTCGCTGCATTTGCTACAAGAGGTACCGGGTACCGTGTGCAACAAGCCCCGCCTCCCTAGAGGTGAAACACTGCGCCAACTGTCGCCCCGGTTCCGTTCTCTTTCCACGCCGTCTACAGCCCAATCGCAGCGGCGGAAACAGCGACGACAGCAGCCGCCAGTGCGGCACCGGGGGCCCCGTACATGGAAGAAAGGGGCCCGATGGATGGCGCGGCGGAAGACACCGCAACTACCGCTACCGTCGAGCAAGGCATGTCCCCGAGAGAGCAACCGACGTCTGCGAGCGTGCACGTCCTGACGTAAAAAAACAGGCAAAAGACAGGAAGAATTACTAACGGGGGGTGGAGTGTACGTGAAGATTGGGG